CACTGTTTAAATTTAATTTATCTGCTTGAATGTTATCAAGATAATTTAAATCATCTCTTGAAATTTGTTTCGTATTCTTATACTCTCTTAATATACTATTTAAACCATTTTTATTAGAATAAAGAACGTAAATATTATACAATAAACCATCTGTAAGGTTAGGTAGAAATTTAATTTCTTCAACTTCATAACCATTTAAATTACCAATTAAATCTATTTCATTATATATTGTCAATGGATTGTCTTTATTTGAAAAATCAAATTTACAGACATTTAAAACTCTTTTATTTTGACTATCTTTATAACAATCTAAAACTAAATTTGGTTCTAAATTACCACTAAGATCAATCAAAGTACTGAAATGCTTTTCTGATAAACAACACTCATCTAGTAATTTTAATTCATTTTGAATTTCATAATTATTATCAATATTAAACACACAAAGATTTTCTGAATTATCTTCTACTGCTATTAGTTTATGAACACTTTTTTCATTATCAAAGAATATTAAGGGAGCTCTTTTAAACTTTTTGTCAGTTGCTTTAAACTTAATTCCATTAGTTGAATTAAAATCATATTTTAAGTATATTTTATAGTTATTTTCAGTGCCATCAAAACCAATTATTAAAGTTACATAATTAGCATTCTCTATCTTGAAATTTTCAAATACTGAATAAACATGTCCTATTTGTTTTATTTGTTCTTTATTAATACTTGATAAATTTCTTTGTTTTTCTACAATTTGATCATTTCTATCAATACTAAGATTGATTGAGTTAAAAACAACATTATTATTTTCGTTAGTTATGTACATAATTCCTGTTTCATCATTACCTATACCTCCTGTTATTCCTATTAATGTTCCACTGAATAATTCGTATTGTCTTAAATTCATTAAAAATGAGGAGTAAAAAATAATAAAAATAAAAATCTCCCTTGAATAATTTATTCCCGCCCACCCTTTAAATATAATGAATAACATTAACTTATTTGTTGTCGTTTAAAGCACAATATTGAAAGCTAACAATCAAGATATTAATAACGATGTAAATGATAAAACTAAAAATTATCTGAAATCTGCACTCGATTTAATGCTAGTTGTTGATATCTAAATGTATTACTTTACTATCTCTATGTATTCTTGTTTGTTAAATGTAAATCCTGATCCCACCCTTCGCCCTATAAAATGACTTGTTTTTTTGATTTATTCAGCGATTATCTGCTGTTATTTATTTGTCTTAGCAATTTATCCTTCTATTGTAAAAGTTTTCATATCATGGTTATTTTTACCAGTTAGTACCATATCCCACCCATCAACCCTTTATAACAAAGCAATCTGTGTTGCTGTATCTTCATCTTACTTTTCTTGTAAGGTAATAAGTACCATATCCCACCCATCAACCCTTTATAAATATCTATCAAATACTCTTATTAACAATTATACATTTAAACTTAAGATTTAAGCTTTAATGTATAAATTGTCAGCTTGTATTA